TATATATAAGTCACAAAACAGTTTGCTTAGCAGAGTCAAATTTTCTTAAGTCATAATGAGAATTTGCTTAGCAGAGTTGAAAATAGTTTGCTTATTGATTATAGTAAATTTTGAAATTTTTATCTGACCTATATATAGATTGTTCAGGATCCTATTCTTACTGTCCAAGTAATAATATGTAATACCCGCCTATTTCGAGATCAGGAAATAGTTTATCTATTATTTTTTGACTAATTCTATGGCAATTTTTTAGGTCAAGATATTCTAGAGCATGCAAATGGTCTGCGATAATTTTGAGAGTTATACAGGAAATAGACAGAGTATATCCTAGATCAAGATATATGATATTAAGACACATTTTCGCGATTTTGAAAATTGATAAGTCAGAAATATGCTGAACTCTGTAAAGATCAAGATGTTTTAAATTATAGCATAATAGAGCTATTTATTCTACAGCTCTATCTGTAATGTTATAAGATTGAAGATTAAGATATTGGATATTTGAGCATGATTTCACAATAATGCGTATCGATTTATCACTAAGAACACTTATACCATAGAGATTAAGATGTTCCAAACAACGAAATTGTGCAATTTTTCTGATGGCTATATCACTTATTCCATCACAGTACTTGAGTTTTAAACTTCTCAGATTTGGGTATGAATCCGTAAGGATGCAAATAGCAGTATCAGTAAGTCTACTACAAGAACTGATGATATCTAAGGATTAGAGATTAGAAAGAAATCATGTGATTTTATATATAATATTATCAGTAACATGTTTCCAAGACGAACTAATTCCTAAATGTTTTAGCCTATTGCATGACTGTGCAATTTTACAGAATGATTTACTGGTAATATATCCAGCATAACCAATATCTAAAAAGAGCAATTTATTGCATTTCTTTGTGATTTTAGTAATAGAGTGATCAGTTAAGTTTATATTGTTAAAAACGTTAAGATGGATAAGGTTGGGATATGCTTGAAAAATCTTGATTAAGACCATATTATTAAAACTAACACTTTGCTCAAAATCTAGATAGATTATGTTTAGGAATACTTCGACGATTTTTTTAATTATCTCATTCGAAAGATAAGAATGGTGTATAATTATGAGGTACTGCATACTATGTTTAAAAATTGGTCTAGGGTTCATACATATCATTTTTATAAACTTTTCCTATTGTTTCTCACCAATCAATTTGATACGACCTCATAAAATTGGACCAGTGCATCTAGACCAAAGTCTAAAAATCAGCAAAATTGGATATAGTATGTTATCTTTAGCTAAGAAATTTAAATATTATTTAGTAATTCAAGAAGAGCAAGCGTCATATTTTTTATCAAGATATACTTACTTCAATAATTTCTTATTATACGTTTCTGAAACTTGGTTATTATATTAAGTCTAACATCTTTAAACCTGAACTGGAGATTACCAGCTCAGAAGATTTTTTGTTTAAATATGAAGTATATAATATGCACTATTTATGATGCAATCAAGCCTTATTTACTTGCCAGAACTATTAGAACAGATTTTATATTTTTTAGCAATAGATAAGTTACTATATCTCGCTCTATTTATTTCCCAATTATAGTACAGATGTGATGCCCCTATTTTATGGAAACACATCAAGCTAAAGTAAGAAAATAAATGTCACTCTCAATTGAAAAAATTTATAAAATTAGTATGTGGAAAGAAATAACTAATTTATAGCTTGAATCTAACTCATCTTAAAATTTTATACTACCATCCACTTTCTAATAAAATAATCAATAATATTATGCGCTTATTTTCAAATATAATTCATTTGTATTTTAGAAAAAGCACAGGATATAGCGATAAAATGCTAAATCGAATAGCAGAATCATATTCAGATCTAAAGCATCTCAATTTGGAAAAGAATAAGTATGTAAGTAGTCATACTGGAATAATAACTGATAAAAGCCTATTTGTTTTAGCAAACGTATGTCGTAAATTAAAATATCTAAATATTTCTCACCACATAGAGATTGCCAAAATATCGATTTCTAGTATTATTCGTTCTTATTCAAGGCTCCAGGAACTCGTCCTTAGTTTTTGTAGAATTACTGATGTGATTATCAGAGAAATTGCTTGTTCATATCTTAATTTAAAGTATCTTGATCTGAAGGGGTATTATAAAATTAGCAAAGAAACTGTAAATCAGCTAAATCAAATATACACGTTGAGAATTTTGTGACGCCTCCTGATTTCATTGGAATAGTTAATAATCATCTTACACTTGCTAGTTTAGCTCAGATGCACTAGTGACATAGAGCTGGTAAAAGAATACTAACCTCAGAATGGGTGTCCACTCTGCCTATCTAACTAATCTGAATCAGTGATCAGCTCAGAAGATAGTGATTAGCAAAAAGGCTTATTGTTAGTAAAGGCAAAAAAATCATGGATCAGTTTTACGACTATACTGTATCTTAGATATCAGTCTTAAGAAAAGAAATCATTTTTACGTAATCTTTGGTAGAATTCACTTCAGGGAGTTTAAAATTTCATGTGTGAAGATAATTCTTTACCTCTATATTTTATATCACGTGAAACAAACTCGGTAATGACATAATTAGTATTTAATTCTGAGTTTGTCAGTTGATAATTAATTTTTTCTTTAAGCTCATACATTCTTATTATCAAATTAAATCTTTCAGCCATACCTCTCATATCCCGTTCCAATTTCACAATTGACTTTTGATAATGTTCATCTTTAATCTTGTCTTCGCAGTATTATACAATATCTTCAAGATTTGCATAAATTAACCATAAATACTGTACTAAATTGACTAGTGTTATCCAAAGATCATTAAGTTCTTTTTCTAGCCCTATATTAAGTACTGAATCCCGCTTTATCTTAATTTTTAGATTAAGTTTGCTCAATGCATCTTTACTAACATTTGTCGACTGTATGCCAAAAAATTCCAAATTAGAACAATGTTGTGCAATTTTATCAATGACTATATCAATAACTAGACGGTAACACCTGATATTAAGATATCTTAAATTTTTACACGAACGTACAATATTACAGATAATTGTGTTAGAAGCATCAGAAACACCGATATCAAGATGTTTGAGCTTCGGGCAAGAGTTAGTAATATTACAAATAGATGAATCAGTAATAAATCTACACTGATCAAGTTCAAGGTATTCTAAATTATGAATATGTTGCA